TGAATATATCATGCCAGTCCTCTCTGACTTTCCAAGTCAGATAGGTCTGCCACCAATCTTATGTTTCTACCCTTGTAGGTTATGGGCCTCTGGTTCCAAGCTGCTTTCAGCATTTTCTCTTTGTTTCTGAGCTTTTCAAGCTTCACTATTGACCTATTTTTATTGATTCTGAGGGGAGTTCTCTGTGCCTTGTGGACTTGAATGCTTGTTTCCTTCCCCAGATTAGGGGAGTTTTCTGCTATAATTTGCTCTAATATACCTTCTGCTCCCTTCTCTCTTTTTCCTCTTCTCCTGGGATTCTAGTTATTCTAATATTGTTTTGCTTTATGGTATCACTTATCTCTCAAATTCTCCCCATCATGATCCAGTGGTTGTTTATCTCTCTTTTTCTCAACTTTTTTATTTTCAGTCATTTGGTCTTCTATATCACTAATTCTCTCTTCTGCCTCATTTGTCTTAACAGAGACTCCATTCTTGATTGTATCTCATTAATAGCCTTTTTTATTTCGATCTGATTAGATCTTAGTTCTTTTGTATCTCCAGAAAGGGATTCTGTAGTGTCTTCTCTGCTTTTTTCAAGCCCAGCTAATATCTTTATAGTCATTATTCTGAACCTTAGTTCTGACATCTTACTTACATCCATACTGATTTAGGTCACCAGCAATCAGTACTGCCTCTTGTTTACCTTTTTGAGGTGAGTTTTTCTGTCTTGTCCTTCTGTGCATAGATGAATGAGAGGACCAAATACTAAAATGGCAGCAACAACCCCAGAGAAATATACACCAAACAAATCAGAAGAGACCTATAACCAAAAAGAGAGAAAGAATATAATCAGACAGGTGAACAGAACAAAGTAATACACTGCTGTTTATATTTTGGTCTGTTTGTTAGAAAACTAAATCCCAAAATTATAAAGAAAGAGAAACTTATATAGGTACAAAAATAAAATACACTGAAAGGATAGAATGTAACATAAAAATCAAAACTAAAAGACAAAAAAAAGGAACAAATATAAACAGATAACCAGAACAGAGCAATACACTATATCTTGGGTGTGCTTTGATCTGTTTGTCAGAAGAGACTGCTTCTCAAAATTGTAAAGAAAGAAAAACATATGTATATATACAAAAATAAAATTAAATACAATAAAAGGATAGAATATAACTGTAAACATGAAATTTTTTAAGACTTTAAAAATGAGTTGATAAAATAAGAAAATTGGTTAAAAATGAAAGAGAAAAAAAATTAAAATTGGAAGACTTATAAGAAGGAATCGTGAGAAAAACACCATGATTTCTATGTATTATTTCACCCTGCACTGGAATTTTGCAGTTCAGTGTGATCAGTAAATTTGATCTTGGCTGGATGTTCTTGCTGATCTTCTGGGGGAGGGGCCTGTTGTACTGATTTCCAGGTTTCTTTGTCCTGGGCAGAGTTGCACCACCCATGCTAGGGGGCCAGGCCAAGTAAGCTGCGCTGGATTGCTCTATGTGGCTTTTGTTCCCTGAGAGCTCTCCACCCCCCAACTTTAGAAGATGAGAATGAAAATGGCAGCCTCCTAGTCTCCAGCCCCAGGGCCCAAAGCTATCGCCAACAACTCCTCAGTGTGCCCTTGGGGAAAGCAGTCCATTACTCTTATCTCCCTGGTTTCCATCCATATTGCATGCTCATCCAGCTTGTGACTGTGCATTTCTTTCTTTTTAAAAAAATTTTTTTAAAAGATTTTATTTATTTGTCAGAGAGAGCACAAGAAGGGGGATGGCAGGCAGAGGGAGAGGCAGACTCCCTGCTGAGCAAGGAGCTACATGTAGGATTTGATCCCAACCTGAGCCTGAGGCAGATGCTTAATAGACTGGCTACCCAGGCGCCCCAAGACCAAGCATTTCTATCTCAGGCATGGGACCCTACTTTGAGTCTCTAATCCCTGCAGACTCCTGTAGTGCACAGCCATGCTTCTCCTCCTGGTGGAAGCGGGGGTGTGGGGGGGGGGTGTCTCGCCATAGTTCTGCAGCTTCCTGGGCCCCTGCAGTTCATAGTTTATGGCAGCCCCAAGCTGAAAGCTCATTCTAGGGCTCACTTTTTGCAGCCGGCTTTCCCATTCAGATGCCTGGGAACTCTTCCGCACTCAAGCACCCCCATTCTTTCTGTGACCCTGGAGGTGCTGAAGTCACACTGTCCCACCTAAGATTCTGTCCACTTCACCACCTGAGCATTTTTCAGTCAGGATGTCCCTCACCAGAGCAGATTTCTAAAAATTCCTATTTTGAGCTCTGCTGCTAAATCACTTTCTGGGGGCACTGGGTGGCTCAGTCAGTTAAGTGGCTGCCTTCAGTTCAGGTCATGATCTCAGAGTCCTGAGATGGAGCCCCACAGTGTGCTTCCTGCTCGATGGGGAGGCTTCTTTTCCCTCTCCCTCTGCCTGCTGCTCTGCCTACTTGTGCTTTCTATCTCTCTGTCAAATAAGTAAATAAAATTTTAAAAAATGAAATTAAATAACAAAATTAAAGTAAATCACTTCCTAGTAGCCAGTTTACGGATGCTGTCTACCCCCATGCTTTAACTTCCCATATATTGCCTAAGATTCACTTCTTCGCACCTCCCACCTTGCAGAAAGGGGCTGCTTTTCTATTTGTAGAATTGCAGCAATTCTTTCCTTACATCTCTGGTTGAGTTCACAGGTGTTCAGAATGCTTTGATAGCTATCTAGGTGAATTCCTGGGACCAGACAAAACTAAGGTCTCCTAGTCCTCTGCCATCATGGAAAACTGGTAAATTGATTCTTACACAATGCGTGTATTTTTGTCTTTATAATGGATGACATATTTTTCCTGTTTCCCTTCTAAATTATTATTTCCATTTAAAATAAAGCTATTCTTTCTTTCTATGTGTCTATGTAAAATTTTATATGCAGATACCTCACTGAAGTATTTTTTTTAATATATAGTTTTTCTCCCTGAGATCTTAGATCTTCCAAATGTGAGGATTATATCATCAGTGATAAGGACTAGTGTTTTTTTGGTCCAGTATTTATTCTGATTAGTTCTTTTTCTTCTTACTGCATTCATAACACACTCTAAAGCAATCTTTAATAATGGTGCTAACTGGCATCCTTGTTCCTGATTTTAATACACATGATTTTATAGATGAACACTTAGGCTGAATGAGCAAAAACACAGATGGGACCTCTGTCACAATTTGTTGATGAAGCATGGTGTAGGGAAGATATTCAAAACATGAGCAACACTATAGTTTTGTTCTTGATTAATTAGGAAGAAGTAAGAGGTAATATAGCTCAAAAATACCTGTACACAGCTTGTTTTCCTAAGGAAATTTACTGAACTAGGTACGGTTCCTGGTATCCTATTGTTATGATAGGATTGCAAGCAGCACAAAGCACCCACTTAGCTTCAATGATAATGATTTGAAATTGAGATCAGTAAGGAAGACTCTGTCTTTCCCCAACCATTTCAGCCACCTGTGTGCAGATATAATACACAGAAAATTGAATTAAAAGGTGTTGGGATTTCTCCATGTGGGTAGAGTGAGTTAAAGATGTATCTGAGAAAGTGATTTTTTTTTAAGATTTTACTTATTTATTTGTCAGAGAAAGAGAGCAAGCACGCAAGCAGGGGAATCAGCAGGGAGAGGGAGAAGCAGACTCCCCTCTGAGCAAGGAGCCCAATGCCGGGCTCAGTCCCAGTACCCTGAGATCATGACCTGAGCTGAAGGCAGATGCTTAACTGACTGAGCCACCCAGGCATCCCCAAAAAACTGATTTTTAATGATGGACTTTAGATGGATTTTAATGAGGATGATGGTGGAGAGAAAACATAGTAGGATCAGGGCATTATAAGTTCTGGTAGGGTCACATTTCTTAAAGTTGGGATAGTAGAGGGAGAGAAGTGGAAAAAAAAGATGTTAGAAATTAGAAGGTGGAATATTTAGCTTTGAAAATTTCGAGGAGCTCTAGTTAGTGACAAGCTCTTTAAGATATATGATCAGTGATTGAGGTAGGGTGAAGATAAAAATCGTTGGAGAGGAATTGAGAGGCCCAGAGACTGGAAGAATTATTAATGGAGATCTGGCAATCAACTAAATTAGTTAAGACAGAATTAGTGCTGGGCAGATCTCCTGACTGGAAGTTAGAAAGTAACATCTTCAAGGAATGAATGGGAGTGGCCTGTGTATCTTACAGATAACTGCAATGAATTGTTCTGAGGTAAATCCATTCTCTCGTGGCATCAGTTAAAAGTATAGGGAGTTTAGGGGAACTGGGTAGCTCAGTTGGTTGAGCATCCAGCTCTTGATTTCAACTCGGGTCATGATCTCAGGGTCATAAGATTGGGCTCTGTGTTCAGCAGGGAATCTGCTGGAGATTCTCTCTGTCTCCCTTTCCCTCTGCCCCTCCCTCCCTTCTAAAATAAATAAATCCTTTTTTAAAAAAAGTATGGGAAGTTTCTGAGCAATTAGAAATAACTAGCAATTCCAGAAACAAAACAGTTAGTTAATGATTTAAAATACATTATGACACATGTGTGGTAGTTTCAATAAAAGGGAGAAGAAAGTAAATCATATGTTAATCATCCTAAATATCATTATGTATAGTTAAGATGAAATTTAGGGGATGCCTGGATGGCTCAGTCGGTTCAGTCTCTGCCTTTGTCTTGGGTCATGATCCCAGAGTCCTGGGATCAAGTCTTGCATTGGGTTCCTTGCTCAGTGGGGAGCCTGCCTCTCCCTCTGCCTGCTGTTCCCTCTGCTTTTGTTCTCTCTCTCTCTGACAAATAAGTAAATAAAATATTTTTTAAAAAATAATAAAATGAAGTTTAGCTGTCATATACCTTAACCATTTATCAACTTATAATTATAACAGAGCTTATTCAGTAATTGCCTGTTTTAAGAATGTAATTTCTAATTTTGCTGTCAACACCATTATAGGTAAAATTCAAGTTATTTTTGAGAATGTAGCATGATCGTTCTTTTTGTTGTTGTTGTTTCAGAGACTTCTCCTGAAAGGGAGAATTATAAACCTTTAATTACTGGAGAAGAAAAAGTAAAATATACTTCACTTGAAATGAATCCATCAGCTACTGTTAATTCTTCTGTTGAAACGAACAGTCCAGAGTTTAATGAAGCATCTTCACAGACATCATTGAAGCCAGAAGGAAATGTGGATGGTATTTTAATAACTCAAAATGAGCTCTATTTAACTTGATAATACTTTAATTTCTTCTATATAAACAGGCCTTTATAAACAGATCATCAAAATATGTGTAAATGTTTGGGTGATTCATCTCAAATTAGGTTCATTGTTTTTCTATGTTTAAGAACTGGTCTGGATTTTTTAATGCTGCATAATAAATCACCCCAAAATTTAGTGTTAAAACAACACTTTCATTATATCTCCTGATTTTGTGTTTCAGGAATTAAGTCAAGGCTTGACTAATGTAACTTTTATAATTCATGTGCTTTTGTCTCTGGGATCACTGGAAATATTCAGCTAGCAACCTGGTCTGATGGGTTCAAGATGGTTTCACTGGTGTCTTTTCAGATGCAGGTTGAAGGCTGTGTTCAACTGGTCCCCTCTCCCTATTCATGTAGTCTCTATACCTTTCCATAACTCTTTCCAGCAAGGTAGACTGACTTCTTATATGGTTGCCAGGGCTCACAGATCCTAGGCAAAAGCTACTTATACTTTTAAAGCTAGTCTCAACTTGCACAGTATCACTTCTGCCATATTTTCTTGGTCAGAGCAGTCAAAACCAGCCTAAATTCAAAGGAGGTGAAACAGAGCCCACCTATCCAAGTTAAGAGTGTTAAAGAATTTGTAGCCATTGGTAATCTGCCATAGTCTGCCACTGAATAAAAAAATATTTACATTTTCTTCCATGTGTAAAATGCACTTACCCCTTCTTAAAGCCTCATCTTGAGAAAGAGAGAGAGCCATGCATGAGCATGGGGCCAGGCAGAGGAAGAGAGAAAGAGAATCCCAAGCAGGCTTCACACACAGCACGGAGCTGGGCACATGACTTGAGTCAAAATCAAGAGTTGGGCGCTTAACTGATGAGCCACCCAAGCACCGCAAAGCCTCTTCTTATTAAAAGGGCTGAATGCCTAAAGCTGTTATCCAAGTCAGGCCTATGTAGAGGTGAATTTTCTTGGGTACAGTTCTTTGAGTAAAATTACTCTTAATCACAAGACCTATAAGTGAAAAAGGTAAGTCCCTTGCCTTCTATATATCTAACATACAGTAGTGAAACAGGAATAGAGACTTCTTCACAAAAACAAGGAAAATGGGGAACACATATCAATCACTGGTCCACAGAAATTCTGCAACGCCAGTGAGGTGTTGCAATGTCAGCTTGCTTCCTTTGCACCAAAGATAGTGCCCTTGGGGCCTTTCTAAACTGCGTCTTTCTTTCCTCTGCAATCCAAGCTAATGGAGTTTCTGCAAGTTGAATTTTCTAATTTTGTGGGCTTTGTATGAATGTTTTTGACATTCACTACATTTAACCACTCTTCTTTTTTTCTTTATTTCTTCATTCCTTCCCTTCCTTGACTTCATCTTTGACCAGTAAAATCTGCCCTCAGTTCAGTGTTTGTTTTAAGGCCATGTTTTCCCTTAAGAAAACTTCCTGGAAGGAATTAACTTGGACTTTCTCTTCTAAATTGTCCTCATAAACTATATAGTTCTTTCTTCAATTAATCTCTCTCCAACTTTATCAAAGTCTACTAAAGAAGCCAGCTGGAACTTTTAACATTCTGTTTAGATAGCATCTTAGCTAGATCATTGAGTCTTTTAGGTATGTTTTCTATCATCATTGTTATTCCAGGCACCATATTTTCTGGCACTGTAGAACAAGAATCTCCTTTTTTCTAGCCTCCAGAAACTTTTTTCACTGCTAATTTCTCATCAGCAGTCTCCTTGAAGCACTTTTAACTTCTTCCCACTGCCGTGTCCCAAAACCAGTGCACATGTTTTACGCTTTTGTTATGTCAGCACCTATTTTCATATAGGAAATTCTGTTTCAGTATCTATTGCTGCAAAACAAGATTCCCAAAATTTAGTGGCTTAAAATAACTTGTTTTATCTCACATTTTAGTGAGTTAGGAATTGGGAAGGTTCTCCTCCATGAGACATCAGTACCACTCACTGGTATTCACATCAACTGGGTTTATTCTGGAAGGGGCAAGATGATGTCATTCCATGCATGGTGTCTCAACAGAGCCTGTTTAGCTGGTTCCCACTCCTTATTTAGTCTCATAAACTTGCCATGTGGTTGTTCCAGAATAAACTTTCATGGTGGTTTAGGCTTCCAGATTCCATGTAGAAGCTGCCAGTTTTCTTGAAGACTAGAGCTGGAACTGGCATAATCTTGAACTGTACTCAGTTAAGACAATCACAATGCCAGCCCAAATTCGAGGAGAGGGGATGTAGAGGCCCCCTCTACATGAGAGAAATGTCAGAGACCTTGCTGTATGTGTGACCATCTTTAATACACCATGATAACTTAAATAGTCTTACTTTTTTTTTTTTTTTTTTTTTTTTTTTTTTTTTAAAGATTTTATTTATTTATTTGACAGACAGAGATCACAAGTAGACAGAGAGGCAGGCAGAGAGAGAGAGGGAAGCAGGCTCCCTGATGAGCAGAGAGCCTGATGCGGGACTCGATCCCAGGACCCTGAGATCATGACCTGAGCTGAAGGCAGCGGCTTAACCCACTGAGCCACCCAGGCGCCCTTAAATAGTCTTACTTATTAGAATTATAGTTAATAGGTACCTTATGCCTTTTCTTTAAAGAAAAACAAAACAGAACCCTGTTAGGCATATAGTAGAGACTATACAATCTAGTACAAGTCAGCAAATATCTCCTAACAAAGAGCCAGATAGTAAATATTTTAGATTTTGAGGGCAATACAGTAAAAAATCTAGTTTGTAGAGTAAGTCATATTGGTATGGCTTAAGGTGCTAATGAACAATTATTCACTAAAAAATAACTGAAAGAGGGCACCTGAGTGACTCAGTGGGTTAATAAGCCTTTGCCTTTGGCTCAGGTCATGATCTCAGGGTTCTGGGATCGAGCCCTGCTTCGGGCTGTCTGCTCAGCAGGGAGCCTGCTTCCTCCTCTCTCTCTGTCTGCCTCTCTGCCTACTTATGATCTCTCTCTCTGTCAAATAAATAAAGTCTTTAAAAAAATAATAACTAAAGACTTTTTTCTTTCCAAGTGCTTCCTTTATACAGGTGAATAAAAGAAATCATTTAAGTAACATAAAAACTTTAAGGACTGGTACAATATCAATTCCCTTTCTAAATAGGACAAGCTAATTGGAAATTTTAAAAATAGAGAATGAAAGATTGTATGGATTCCAGGAAAAAAGAGGGGGTGATGGTGGCTTAAACTAGAGCATTGTGGGGCGCCTGGATAGTGTAGTGGGGTAGGTGTCTGACTCTTGGTTGTGGCTCAGATCCTGATCTGGGGGACTTAAGATCAGGCATTGCTCCGTGGGGAGTCTGCTTAAGACTCTCCTTCTGCCCCTCCCTGCCCATGCTTAACACATGCACACACGTTCTTTCAAATACATAAATAAATAAATGTTAAAAAAAACAAAGCACTGGTAATCTGAATTGAAGAGGAAGAAGAGAAGTCAGCAAATGAAGACAGAACCTTTCTCATTAGTATTTACTTTCAGAAAATTACTGAAGAATTAACAAGATTAAAGATCTACAGATAAAATATTTAATTTTTTGTTATAAATAGTATGTTAGCCTAAAACTAGGTAATGATAATTTATAGAATATTTATTCAAATATCTATGGATGGATTTTGCTGACATGTTTATTGTTATGTTTTTGATTTTCAGAAGCTGATGGCTTAGAAACAGAAGTTCTACAAGAGCCAGGTGGAGCAAATAAAGATGGTAGCTTGCCATGCACGATTATTGATGTGTGGATTAGTGAGATAAAAGAAACAAAGGAAACTGAGTATGTTACCTCTTTTTCCTTTCATTTCAAAACCTGGCTCCCTTTTTGTAATTCTTTTTTAAAAAATACTGTAATAACCTAATACTGTACTATATCCTATTATTATAATGCCTTATAAAATAATTTAATTTTTGGAAAGATACTACATTCATGTGGTTCAGAAATCAAGTATGTAAAGATACAGAGTAAAACATGTCTTTCCCAACTCTGTCCCCATTCAGCAGATTCCCATTTTCTTCTCCTTCCAGATATTTTTAATGTATACAAAGCAAAAATGTCTCCTTCCCTTTTAAATGAAGTTATTAGTATAACACGTATGGTATTTTCACCTTTTTGTTTTTAGTCAGTAACCCAGAAATTTTTTATATTTTTTTTCTTATTTTATGGCTACTTAGTATTCCACTGTATGGATACACCACAACTCAGCAAGTCTTTTACATTAATTAATTGATATCTTACATTAATTAATATTTCAAATGATGTTTCAATGAATAACAACCTTTTACATAAGGTCATTTTGCATGTATATACGTATATCTGTAGGATAAATGCATAGAAGTTGACTTCCTGTGTCAATTGCATTCTTATAAATTGCATTTGTAATTCTGTTACTGTTCTTCCTGGGGTTTGTACTAATTTACATTCTCAGAAAGAATGTATGAAACATCTCATTTCGGGTCACCTGGGTGGCTCAGAGGGTTAAGCCTCTGCCTTCGGCTCAGGTCATGATCTCAGGGTCCTGGGATCGAGCCCCGCATCAGGCTCTCTGCTCAGCAGGGAGCCTGCTTCTCCCTCTCTCTCTCTGCCTGCCTCTCTGCCTACTTGTGATCTATCTCTGTCAAATAAATAAATAAAATATTAAAAAAAAAAAAAAAAGAAACATCTCATTTCCCCCAGCCCTGCCAAACTTATGTCAAAGTTTTTTATTTTTGCCACTCTGATTGGTTAAAAAATAGTATCTTGGTTTGGGTTCTTACTTTATCCATCTCTTATTATTGGTAAAGTGAGCACATTTTTTCAAAATGTTCAAGTTTCATGTGTATTTCTTTTTATGTGAGTTCTCTGTATATATGTATTTGATCCATTTTAAAAATTAGTATGAACTTTTTAAATATTAGAGATACTTGACATGCAGAAGTTTTTTTTTTAATTGTCATGTTTACCTGGATTTTAATAATCATTCAGAGATACTTGGTTCTTTCTAAGATTCTCAAAGAATTTTTCAGTCTTTTTTCTAGTACTTTCAATGTGGGTACTTTTTACATTTAAATCTTTAATCTATTTGGAATTTATTCTGGGGTAGGGGTTTAGTTTTCCTTCAGATTGCTACCCTGTTTCCCAGTTGTGTTTATTAAAAAGTTCATCTTTCCTGCATACATTAAAAAATGCCACTTTTAATACATACTAAATTTTCTTAATTTTGTTCTTTTTCGGTTTTCTTGGCTACTTTTGCTTGTGTAATATTTCCTTTGAATTTCGAATTTACTAAATTTTGCCTACCTTCCCCAGGAAAAAAATTCATTGGTATTTTATTGAGATATTAAATTCATAGATTAACATAGGGAAAATCAACATGATGTGTTCTTCCTATCCATGAAGAACCTGATAGGCCTTTCTTTTGAGTAAGTTTTGAGTATTTTTATAGTTTCCTTCATCTAGGCTTTACACTTTTATTGGTAAGCTTATTCATAGAAATATTCTTTTATTTGGTGTTATAAATGGTCCCTCTTCTGTGAGATCTTATAACTAGAAGGTTGTGTGTATGAAAGCTTAGATTTCTTTATATAGATTTTGTACCACACTATCTTATTGATACCTACTATTGTTCAGGATAGATTTTCAGTTGAATCCTTTGCTTTTTTCAGATATACAATTATATCATATGAAAACAATGATGATTTTATGTCTTTCCAATTTTTTAAACACTGATTTTTTTCTCTGTAATTGCCTTCGTTAGTATCTTTTATACAATGTCAAATATTGGAAATAGGGAGTACTTCTGTGGTGTTCTTGACTTTAGTGAAGATGCTTCTCTTGTTAACCATCATTAGGCATGACTGTACCTTTTAACTAAGATAGTTTCTATTGATACTTTGATTTTTTTTAAAGTTAGGAATGAATTTTAACAAATAGTTTTCATTCTCTATGGAACTGCTTATATATATGTTTTCCTTTCTTTATTAGTATAGTTAACTTTTGGATGACACAGTTTTGAGCTGCATGACAGCTCGTCCTACACATGGGTTTTTTTTTTCCAATAAATATATTGGAAAATTTTTTGGAGGTTTGTGGCAATTTGAAAAAAAAAAAAAACTGGCAGGGGAACTGTGTATCTTGGAATAGTGACAAAAATAAAAGTTAGGGATTTTAAGACTATAGCAGATGGGGGCACCTGGGTGGCTCAGTGGGTTAAAGCCGCTGCCTTTGGCTCAGGTCATGATCTCAGGGTCCTGGGATCGGGCCCCGTGTCAGGCTCTCTGCTAAGCAGAGAGTCTGCTTCCCCCTTTCTCTCTCTGCCAAATAAATGAATAAAATCTCTAAAAAAAAAAAAAATACAGCATATAATACATATAACATGCAAAATATATGTTTATCAACTGTGTTATCATGAAGGCTGTGGTCAACAGTAGACTATTAGTAGTTAAGTTTTGGGGGAGTCAAAATTTACACACACATTTTTGACTGCATAGGGGATTCAGCCAGCACCCCATCCCTCCACACTGTTCAAGGGTCAACTGTATAATTAATTATATTAATGGATTACTTAACATAAACCATCCTGCATACCTTAAGTAGATTCTTTTTGTTCATGACATACTATTTTAAGGTAAATACATATTTTAGAATTTTTGTATTAATATTTGCAAGAGTCATTTGCAGTTCCTTTTGGTTGTGGGAAATTATTGTTGGATTTTGTCATTACGGTTCCTTTATAAAAAATAATTGGAAGTTTCTCCCATTGCCATTGTCTGTAACAAGGACCATCAATCTTTTTCTGTAAGAGCCAAGTAGTAAAAATTTCAGTATTGGGTAGAGTATTTGGTTTATGATATAGCTACTCAACTCTGCCAGAGTAGTGCAGAAGCAGACATTGGTGTTACATAGACAAATAACTGTGACTGTTTTGATACAACTTCATCTATAAAAACAGGAAGAGGGCTGGACTTGGACATGAACAGACAAAAAAAATGCCAAAATGCTTGTTATAAAAAATGCTTATGGCAAATAATTTGAAATAGTCTAAGTAATCACTAATAAGGAAATAGTTAAAAATATTGTTTCTCTATACTACATAGCATATCTAGCACTTCAACACAATTTGAAAATAAAAGTTCCATTTCTAAAGCCATTCAACAAAACAATATCTGATTTATTAAAGACGTAAGGTCAACAAATAGAAAGGATGCACCCTAGTAATTAATATCCACAATTCATAAAGAACTTGGCAAATTAAGAAATAAAAGATCAAAGCCCAAGAGAAAAATGGGGAAAGAATATGAATATAGCTGTTTACAAGGGAGGAAAACACATATATGGCTTGTAAATATAATACAGTGAGAAAAAGACATCAAATTCCTAAGTTCTTTGACTAACTTTACTCAGGGGAGAACTATGAATGCATAAATGTCAGATACTTGTTCTTCCTCAAAGAAGAGGAGTAAATAAGAGGTGGGCCAAGAGTCCAAATGTTTTGCTAGTGAAAGTTTCTTCACAAAAATAACAGGAAGCCAGGAGGAAGGCAAATAATAGCATCAAATACTGGTGTGAGGTTGGGCCCTAGGGCCGTTGATACATTGCAAGCACACATAAGAATTGGGAGAGCCAGTTTTGAAATCCATTTGCCGATTTTGTTACTTTAAAATATGCATATCTAGGGCTCCTGGGTGCTCAGAAGGTTAAGTGGTTAAGTGTCTGCCTTTGGCTCAGGTCATGATCCCCAGGTCCTCCTGGGATGAGCTCCACATGGAGCTCCCTGCTGAGGAGCTTCTCCCTGTCCTGATTCTCCCTCTCAGACTCCTCCTGCTTGTGGTCCCTCTGTGTCAAATAAATAAATAAAATCTTTTTAAAAATAATAATGTATATATCCTGTAATAATACATCTTTTATTTTTTGGTATCAACTCTAAGATTACTTACAATGGGCACAAAGAGGCATATGCAAGAATGTTTATTGTAGGAGAATCGTAACAAATAATTTGAAAGAGTATAATCATTAATAAGGAAGCTGCTAAAAATAAAGTTTCTGTATACTGCACTGTGGACAGTAGATAGCACTTTAAAGAATAAAATGTAGCTTCATGTATCAGTATGGAAATATGCCCCAGTTATCAAATGATTAATACAATAGTACTGAATAAAATAGTACTGAATAAAAAGGCATTTTTATATATTAAAATAACACTATTTCTCTAAAATTCAAGGAAAAATATGGGAAGATATATACCAAGCTGATGGCAGTACGGGCAACTAAGAGTTGATGGGCATTCAGCATATGACAGTGGGTCATTTCCAGGATTGTTTCTACCTTTTGGCTGTTGAAAATGCTTGTATGAATATTTGTGTACAAGCTTTTATTTGCAGACCCATATTCTTCTGAGTGTATAGCTGAGAGTAGAATTGCTGCAGCATCTGGTAATTCTGTGTTTAACTTTCTGAGGAAGCAAGGAACATTACATTTTCAGTGAAAAAAAGTGTTACTTGCATGATTAGAAGTAAAAACTTTGAAAATCAAAAATAGAAAAATTTTCAAAATTTAAAACTGAAAAAGTAAAAAAAGTTATTTAAATTTGAGAAGCATTAAAAAGAATTAAGAAAACAAAAACTGCTTATAAGCCAAACTTGCAGAGAAAAGTTACTGGTACTGTTGTTTTTGTTTTTTGTTGTTGTTTTTATTGCAGTATAGTTGACACAAAATGTTACATTAGTTTCTGACAGCTCTGTACTTTATACTGTGTTATCACCAGTGAAGCTATCATTTATCACCATATAACACTGTTACAATACCCTTGACTATATTCCCTATGTCTGTGTTCCCTTTATCCCCATGACTTACTCATTCCATAACTGGAACCACGGACCTCTTACTAACTAACCCCTACCCCTGTGCCCATCTTCTAACCTCCCCCCCTTCCTTCTGGTAACTACCAGTTATTTCTCTGTATTAATGGCTCTGTTTCTGCTTTTGTTTGCTTCATTTGTTTGTTCACTTGGTTTTTAGATCCCATGTATAATATGTGAAATCACATGGTTCTTTTATTTCTCTGTTTGACTTATTTCACTGAGCATGATACCCTCTATGTCCACCTCTGTTGTTGCAGATGGCCAGATCTCATTCCTTGTTATGACTATATAATATTCCATTTGTGTGTGTGTGTGTGTATTCATCTGTCAGTGGACACTTGGGTTGCTTTCAAATCTTGGCTGTTGTTAATAATGCTGTAATAAACATAGGGATACAGATCTTTTCAAATTAATGTTTCTGTTTTCTCTGGATAAATACCCAGTAATAGAATTACTGGATTGTATGGTATTTCTATTTTTAATTTCTAGAGGAAACTATACTGTTTTTTATAGTGGCCACACCATTTACATCCTCACCAGCAATGCATAAGGATTCTTTTTTTTTTTTCTTTTTAAGATTTATTTATTTATTTGGGAGAGAGAGAGAGTACAAGCAGGGAGAGTGTCAGGGAGAAGGAGAAGCAGACTCCCTGCTGAGCAAGGAGCCCAGGCTCCATTCCAGGACCCTGGTATCATGACCTGAGTGAAATGCAGACAGACGCTCGGCCAACTGAACCACCCAGGCCTCCCAAGGATTCCCTTTTTGTCCACAGTCTCATCAACACTTACCTCTTGTCTTTTTGGTGATAGCCATTCTAACAGATATGAGATGATATCTTACTTGGTTTTGATTTGCATTTCTCTGATGATTAGTGATGGTGAGCATCTTTTTCTGTGTTTGTTTGAAACCTTTGGACTATATTCTTCCAGTCTTTAAATTTTTGTTAAAAATATATATATAATACATGAATTTAATTCCAGCTTTATTGAGATAAAAACTGTCAGTTGTTCTTTACCTTTTTTCCTCAATTAATTCACTCTCTTTTAGTGTTAAAACTTTTTGGTGCATATCATTCTATATTTTATACTGTACTACATACCATTTTTTGAAACTAACATCATTTAATGCAAATTGATCTGTAGATTACTTTGCTTACTTAATAAAATATTTTATTTATCAATTTATTTCATTTATTTATTTTATTTATTTTACTTATAAAATGTATTATTTTATTTATATTATAAATAAGTTGCAATATATATTAAATAAATATATAAATATGTTTATACTTTGTTTACTTAAGTATATTTATTTATATAATATATATTAGATATATTTATTTACATTTAATTTATTTATAGACTGTCATTCCACAGTATTTCACATAGATTTCTGTTTCATTTTTTTAATAGCTGCATAATATTTTATAGTATTAGTATACTGCAGTTTTATATTCTCTGCTATTAAGGGGCATTTTGATTGCTTAAAGTAGTGGTTCTCAAATATTAGCAAAGATTAGAATTACTTTGATATTTATTAAAATAAATTGCTGGGCTTTATCCTCCAAAGCTTCCGATTGATAGGTCTGGGGTAGGCCCTGAGCAGTTTGCATTTTGAACAAGCTTCTGTGTGTTCCTAATGTCTTGGGAACACATTTTGGGAACCATAGTTATAAGAAGCGGTGAGTCTGGTTTTTGTGACTGATTAGTGATTATGATTAAAGGTTTTAACAGGGTAAAAAATATAATGTACTTATGAGAGAGAAAAAAAATATATATATATATCCACACATATAAATGAGGAAAATATTTGGAAGAGGAACCACAGCATGCTAGTGAACTTGTGCTCCTTTTTTTTTTTTTTTTAATTTAAGAGTGCTTTCATTTCTAGTAAATTGTATTTCTACTGATGTATCCTTCTGTGCAGAATGGAAGATAGGATCACTGCTCAGCAAAATGAAGTTTCTGAAGATGAAATCCCAAGGAATGTGGACCACCTTAGTGAAGTCGATATAAGTAAGCCTCATATTAAATACTGTGCTTTTCTCAGTATCACATAGAGCTTAAGTACTGTATAGACTTACCACAAAATCTTCCCTTTATACCACAGGACCTGAAATAGGTGATCCTCAGCACCCTAAATGTGATGTAGATAAACCTGTGCAACCAGAGCCATTTTTCCATAGAGTGGTTCTTTCAAAACACTTGAACGTAGTCTCTCAAATTCAGTCAGTTCTGTGTTCACCAGAAGAATCCTTTCCGCTTCGATCTCGCTCTGATTCACCACCAAAAAGTGAAAACCAGAGTTCCTTGCTGATAGGACTTTCAACTGGTCTATTTGATGCAAACAACCCAAAGGCAAGTATGCACCTCCAATGGAAAATACCTGTTTTAGTAACATTTCTTATTTATTGTTTTTCTTTAATAAGCCATAATACTGAGTTTTAAACTCTTACACACACACATAAACAAAAAGAACAAAAAACTTCCATCATCTTTTCTGGGATTCTGAAAAGAAATTGCCATTGAGAGTAAAATTGAGTACACTGAGAGTACCATTAGGACAAAAACTATTTCATTGGCTCCTTGTTCAGGATTCTTTTTATAGGGTCTACTTTTATTTAAATAAAATCCCTCTTACACCATTTCCCTTCCTCACTACTCAATCCAACTTCCATTTTTCGTATAAGACTAAACTTAAGCAATATATTTTAAGGAGACAGAAATGTGTTTGCCTAATTTGATACAGAAAGGGTAATAGATATTCATATGCACTTTCTGGCAAAAAATTTTCAAGCATCTTTTTTCACTTGGTATTTTTGAAAATATGTAACCAATTTTTTATTAAGAAATTACAATATTATCTCTATAGAAAATTTAAAGATATAAAGAAATCACTTATTTTGTTAGATTTTATATATGTAAGTATTACATATATAAAACTTTTTGTTAAAATAGAATATTATGCATATTTTTATAACCTGCTTTTCTCTTAATATGTACTATAAAATTATTACAAATGTTAATATTATAAATTATTACAAAAATAGCATTTTGTCATATCATCAAATAATCTCATGTTATCTAGAATCACAAATTCCATTAAGCTGCTATGCTATTTATAATTTTTTTAACTAATCTATTTTTATTGTTGGGTCTTTAGGTTTCAGTTTTTGTTATAGTAACCACCCGGTTTTTTTTGTTTTGTTTTTAAAGATTTTATTTATTTATTTGAAAGAGAGAGAGAGAGAGGAGAAAAGTCAGCAGGAGAAGCAGACTCCCTGCCGAGCAGGGAGCCTTATGTGGCACTCGATCCTGGGACTCCAGGATCATGTTATAGTAACCACCTACACCTGTATCTTTGACAATAGCCACAATTATTTTCATAAAATAAATTTGTGTAAGTGGAGTTCAAAAGTTATATTGGATATAGCCTGATTTGCCTTTTTAAGAAATAGCTTATAATGCCTCAATAGTATGTAAGAGTCTGTACTCTAAAAAGCACCAACTGTTATCATTCACTTAAAAATTTTATATATAGTGAGTGAGTAATGATATATTTTTTTTTAAATTTGTGTTTCTATGTTTACCAGTGAGGTTGAACATTTTTCATGTATGTAAGTCTAAATGGGAATGAATTACCTGAATTCTTTTATCCTTTTTAAATATGTCATTTTGATTTTCAATTTAATTTTCAAATTGGATTTGTTTCATTTTTTGGAGTGTTTTCTTACGCTTATTTTAAATGTAGAGATTGCTAAATTCTCCCACTTGTCTAATAGCAGTCAAGTTTTCAAAGATAATGAACTATGAAAACAAATTTATGATCTTCAGAATTTGAGAATAAGGCCTATTTATGTTACAGACAAGGATTATCCTATAATCCATGTACTTTCTTTTGTAGTGGAGATATATAGTTAACTGTCTTTAGCCCAGAGCTTTTGAATAACATATCTGTGTATACATTCCTTGCATAATACATTTTATTATTTTATTTTCTTTCATGACCTTAGTTCAGCCTTAATAGTTCTACGGAAGTACTTACTTGAGAAGTAAGCACAACAAAGAAGATCTCCTCTGAGGGAGAGGGGCAAGGAAAAAAAACGTAGAAAATCAAAGCAATTTATAGCTATTTAAGGCAAGGGCAGAAGGCCATACCTGTCTATCCTTTAAATCTTTGAGGTCATGAGGGGAGCCTAGGTGGCTCAGTTGGTTAAGCATCTGCCTTCTGCTTGGGTTATGATCCCAGGATCCTGGGATAGAGTCCTGCAGCGGGCTTCCTGCTCAGTGGGGAGTCTGCTTCTTCCTCTTCCTCTGCCTGCTGCTCCCCTGTTTGTGTTCTTTCTCTCTGTCAAATAAATAAATAAAAATCTTAAAAAAAAAAAAAAAAAAGCAAAAAAGCTTTGAGGTCATGAGAGTTCATCACTGGGCCAAAATGGTAACCTTGAAATATGAAGAAAAGGTAGAAATTACTTATAACCATTTAAATAATCTGTTTACTAAATGAAGTAATTTACGCTCTTACGAAGATTTTTGTTAAAATTCTCTTTTAAAATGTTGTTACGCTATTTGTCTTTTTTTTTTTTATTAAAGGAAATTCTCCTGGTACTTTGAATCCTAACCTCTCTCACCTTCTCAAGAATTCCCTCCTTTTATTTTTCTTTGGTCACGCTAGCTTGTATCATCAACTTTCTCCTCTATAATGGATCATTTCCTCAACATACATATTCTAATAAGTCCCATCATAATTAGCAAACTTCTTTTGAGAACATATCCTTCTCTGGCTACCATTCTACCCCTTTCTCTGCTCCCTTTTACAACCAAACATCTTGAATATGTTGTACATTTATAGTCTCCACTTCCATTCACTTCCAAATACATTCCAACGTTACTTTTAGCCCACTCCTCCATTAAAACTGCTTTTGTCAAATCAATTACTAGAACATTGCCTAATTCCCACTACCTTTTTCTCTCTTCTTTCTTGACTTTTCTTCTTCCAGCATAGTTGATATACACTTTATTTTTAAAATCTTTTTATCTCTTGGTTTTCTGTGTATCATGTTTTCCTCTGCACTCATGAGTCACCCTTTAGTCTCCTTTACTGGCGGCTACTACTCTAACAGATCTCTTTAAAAGCATGTGTATTCTTCTGTCATCATGTAAAATAGCCTGTAAATGTCAAGGATTAAGTCAAATTGGTTGATAGTGCTGTTCAAGTCTTCTTTATCTTTACTATTTTTTTGTCTATCTAGTTATATCATTTTTTGAGAAAAAACTATGTAATTATCTATCTTTTCATTTGTGTCAATTTTTGTTCCATGTATTTTGAAACTTTGTTACTGAGTGAATAAAAATTTAGTATTACTCTATCTTCTGGATGAATTGATAGGTTTATTATTATGAAAGGTCACTTTTTGTTTGATAGTGTTGTTCATCTTCTGTGTCTTACTAATTTTCTTTCTACTTATCAGTTACTGGGAAAGGAGTATTGAAATTTCTAGTCAATCGAATGCAAATTAATAATCTTTATATCTTCTTGATAATTGCTTTCTTTATCATTATGAAATGACTGTCTGTATTGGTCATATCACCTGTTCTAAAATCTATTTTTTCTGGTTGTAATAACCATTCTAGCTTTCTGATGATTATTATTTGTTAAGGATACACACACATTATTTTACATTATTTTACACACACACATACACACATTAACTTATAATCGCACTGACTTTCATGTAAAGTAGATTTTTTTTTTTGTAGCTGTCACATTGTCAGGTCTTGCTTTTTAGTCAGTCTGACAACTTCTTTTATTTGAAGTGATTAGGCCATTTACTTTTTTTTTTGGCATGTAATTTTCGATATATTATTGGTATGATTAAATTTAAACCTACCATTTTGTTATTTGTTTTCTATTTGTCTCATCACTTTTTCTGTTCTTATTTTACTTTTATTCTCCCTTCTTTTGGATTGAGTGTTTTTAACATTTTGTTTTATCTCTATTATTTGCTAGTATAGATCTTTTCAAAAACTTAGTTGTAATTTTCAGCTCTCAAGATGCAATTTTAGCTTTTTAAAGTCTTCAAATAATATTATATCACTTCACATATGACATAAGAACCTTTTCACAGTGTAGTTCCATTTCCACCCTCTTGTCTATTGTTTTGGCATTGTTCTCTTATATTTTATATCCACATGTTACACACACCACAATAAATTGTTACTGTTTTTGCTTTAAACATTATCAGGAATAACAGAAATAGCCCTTGTCTACCAACCTGTGGTTCTCTTCATTTTTGAGAAAAAGTAGAACTTAACCCAAAACAAAAACACCTAAAATATTTATCAAAGAAGACTGTACATGAAACATTTTTAATATAGGACAGTTAGCTGTTGGACTGATGGGTGAATATACCCATTTCCATGCCAAGAGGAAAATTGCCAAATTACATAACTCTTGAAATTTCTTTCTACTGTATTATTTTACATTAGGTTAGGAAAGCTATTATAATTAGTGAAAGGAATAAACTAAAATTGAGATTTCTTTTTAGCCAGGATGAAAATTTATTTCAGCCTAACAAAGGTTGCATCTTTATATAGAGTCCCCTTGAATTTAAGTGTATAATGCATATATGCTGTATATTTTTATTGATTAGCATTTATCTGGAGAAACTGTTACCGTATACATATTTTGCACACTATTAGTTTATAATATACATGATTCAAATAATAAACAAGTCAAGCATAAATTCTGCTGACAATGGGAGATTCAGTAAAAGATATACTTTCAGTACCATCATTAAGTGTTTTAACAAGCAACCTATCTACCCATCTTATAGTTCATAACCATCTTTTTCTTGCACTATAATATGTAAATTATGTTCAAATAGTGGAAATCTATCCTCTTTTATTCTGAAAAACAGATTGTACCAATTAAATTGGCAAAGCATATAAATTTTCATTAATATGCTAAACATTATGTTTTCTTCACAGTCTCCAATCTGGTGTAGGATTCTTACCAGGGCCTTAGGAGTTAGGTTTCAAATCTCACAGGTTCCTTTAGGTTTATTAACCAAATTCTGAGACTTATGTATATAGACATTTGTTTGATCATCCTGCCTATCCATCACATTCTAATTGCTGATAGGTTGGTGGACAGGGGCACTTTCTTCTATTCCTGGTCTTTCCCAAACAAATTCAAATTTTAGACACCTCAACTGTACATTGTTTTTTTTCTCAAGTCAGTTCCTTCTTACCTGCTGCTATAAATGATTCTCCGTATAAACATCAAAGTACCTGTCTTTCCACCCTTACCTTCTTTTGGGAAAGGCTCCAAGTACAGTCCATTGCTTATGGAAGTGATATTAGACTTTTTTTTTTCCACTAATATGAAGTTTTTTATTTAACTGAGATCCTAGGATAAATGATACAAAGGGCCACAATTATACGTGATAGTGCTTTGCCAAGCTTCAGACAAACTCAGTTCAGGATTTGGGAAAAATATATGGGGAAGATTGGCCATAGGAAAGTGTGAGAGAAAGAGATACAAGGAAAGAGGGACAGTGTGGGTCTTGAGTGAGAAGGAGCAAATTGGCAGTTTCTGGCACTGCCGATTTCTGACAGATTTCTAATTCCATTCCCTGGGTATACCCTGACTAAACACCTCTCTTTGCCTTTAAAAGGTGACTAAAGTGAATCCCTATACCTTGAATTTTGAAACCTAAGCATAACTCACCAGTTTAGTTTTCCTCACTGAAAAATTACAGAGCTAAAATTCAAGAAAATTAGGTTCTAATCTTAGATGAGTCACTTCTGGAACTTCTAACTCTAAATATATGATATAAAATAAAAAATTAGTATTAGCTCTTTCTAACTTTTTTATTTCATTTTTGTTTTCTGATGATCTTACTCCTACTAAGAAATCTGTTGACTTTTTTAGATGTTGAGGACATGTTCACTTCCAGATCTCTCAAAATTGTTCAGAACATTGATGGATGTTCCCACTGTAGGAGATGTATGTCAAGACAATCTTGAAATAGATGAAATTGAAGATGAGCATATTAAAGAAGGACCTTCTGATTCTGAAGACATGTGAGCATGATGTCATTAATAAATACTAGCACTAACAGAATTTCTGAGTTTATGTGAACTTTGGAGATGTAACTCACCTAGACAGTTTTAAAAAATTATCTGTAACTGTTATTTCACCACTCCTTTACCTTTTTACAACATATTTAAAGTACAGTCATATAAGTTTTGATATGTATATTAACCTCTAAGTAATGTAATGACTGACCCTCAATTGAGGAATATGAGTGTGCTTTCTGTCATATTCAGCACTGAGCATCTAGCACATTGACTTGTCCATGGTACATGTTTAATAAATATTGCTTAAATGAAGGAATATTAGCAGAAAACAGTTTAACACCACATGATACAGGGATTGCAATGGAAAATTGTGAGATATGAACTCTTCTACAGTTCCCCAGGGAAAAGACCAGAAAGCCTCTACATCTCTCTCCTGCTATGTATGATTTTGAAACCATGACAGTGGGAAATTAGCAGGTAGACTAGTTGTTTTGTTTGCATGTGTGTGGGCACATGTGTGTTCTGCATGTAATTTAATTGCTTTCACAAAATTCCTTTCTTCATGATTCATGGGGAATTTAGAATCTACGAGGCAAATTTAACCAACCCTTCTGAGAACTGTAGGAAGTAATAGCCCCTTTAACAGGACAAGTAAGCCCTCTCACCCCCTCAGACAAATGTTACCCAATATGGGGGGAAAATAAAGTGTTCAAGAAGGTATAGTATATTCAGATCACCAGGAAAATATGGCATAAAATATTGGGATTTTTATGATTTATTTTCTGATATTTTTGAGCTTAAGTTTCTACATTTTATGTCTTTTAATAGAAAAAAACTGTGTCAGTCTCATGATTTTTACCCCCCCTGCAATAGTTGAGCCAGAGCCACTGTATCTGGCACTATTTTCTGGTATTATGTTTGTTTGTTTTTCTTAAGTCTTGCCTCTTGTTTCTTAAATTTTCAACCAAACTGTTTCTGTTAAAGGTTTTGTCCCCCTTTTTTTCATGTCTCATACTGTTCTTTATATTTTTGCTAGTGTCCTCAGATTTTACAGGAAGTTACCCTTTTATCCTTGTTTTCTTCTGCTTAGGGGTAGTCATCAGCACTTCATGTGTTTTTATTGAGCCTCTTGGGGAACATGACAACGTATCAGCACCTTTGTGGTTGACAGAGTGCTAGGTACAGTTTTTCCTCTAAGTGTTTATAAAGTCATCAGTTTTTATCTGACTGCACAGCAACTTGTTTGTGGCTTGTGTTCTTTTAATTACTGGTTGATGACAGAATTTTATTTTAGAATTTAAGTTTAGAAGCTTTTAATATTAACTTAAAATTTTGAAAACCAAGTTATTTTTTAAAGTAAATTAGTCCATACCACAAAATTTTCCTTGGGATTTTTTTCTTTTTCTTTTTCTTTCCTTTCTTTTTGTCCAAACTTCACTCAAGGTCATACAATAAAATCTACTAAAATGTGAATTCAAGGCCAGATTTTAAAATAGATCTTTTAAAAAATATGTTAATCTTATACTTTTCTTATAATGGCAGACTTGGCAGCCCCATTTACTTTAATACCATCTGTGCTGGGCACTAATTCCTCTGGGTTGGCCATTGTAAGATTTTGTCAACAGATTATTTAATCATTGTTGTAATGGTACATAGCAGATGTGCATATTATGTTAGTCTTGTAATTAAATATAAAGTTAAATGTTACTAATAGGGTGATCCATAAGATTAGACATATTCTCTCATTCTAATTAGATGCTTTGCTTTTCTATACCTGCTACAAAGTCGGAGTGTAGAAGTTTGTACACATAAATACTAAATAAAGATATTTCTACTTTAAAAGAGTATTTTCTTTTCCATTAATGGAAGTTTTATTTAAGATCTTGTGTAATACCATTTCTATATTAGTTTTCAGTAAATACTTGTTTGACTGGAATCTAAACTTTAAGGCTTTAATCAGCTTTTATGTTCTATTCAGCATTGCTTTTCTGGTGGATGAAATCGTCAACATTGTACATAATCTCTTTCAGAAGACTTCACTTACCTAAAATTTCAATTAACTCTTAATCTACAGACTTTTCCCTTTGCATGCCACTTTAGTAGAAAGAGGCAAATTAAGAGAAATAAAGTTGATGAGTACATTCTTGGGGTATTGTAGAAGTGATGAGAAGACTTAGATTTCAATCTTTATTTGCTATTTATTGATTGTATAACCTTGAGCAAATAATTTAAACACTTTAATTCTGTGTCCGTATCTCTAAAATGAATTATGAGTTATGTGTAGATAAAATTTTAGTAATAGGCTAAAACTGCTTAATAAACTAAAGTACTATATAAATCAAGGGTATTATTTACATAAATTAATTAATTCCAGCATCTGTAATCCCTTGAAAGTAAAATTAATATCCTGAGCAATGCCTTGGAAACAAGATAATCCAGTGAAGATTATTATGGTTAGTATATTCTAATTACTCAGTAAAGTCCATTTGTTATGTATTTTAGAAATGTTTTCAAGAATAAGCATCTAAAGATAAGATTTCTGATGACTATTTTATTTACTAGGTCATATTATTCACCTGAACATATAATGTTCAAATGTCTAATGAGTGTTTATATGGAAAGCCTTTCATATAGTATACTACTATTATACATCCACACAAAGAATTTACTAAATGTTCAAAATTACATAGAAGAAAAATATTTGAATACTCAGTATTTTTTTTAGAAAGCATGTAAAAAAATCTCTTTAGTCTAGCCCCTTAAAATACTGAAACAGTCTTTCAAAATTTAAGCAATGAATAATATTGATAGTTACGTTATTTTATTCTCTTTTAGCAGATCAGGATCATTTTAAACAAGTTCATCTTCCAGCTTATGTATTCCAGAATATGTGTCATGTGCTATATTTATAATTGTATTAATCTTCAGTTACTTTGTTAAAAACCACTATGTAGGTTTTTTCAGATTTCTTTTTATCTACTATTAGTACTTTTAAGCAGAAAGGAGTGCATGTATATTGAAGTAAAATTTCAAAATAAGGTGACATTTTGGTAATGTTTAGTTTAATTTTTTAAAATTTCAGTGTTTTTGAAGAAACTGACACAGATTTACAAGAGCTTCAGGCCTCTATGGAACAGTTACTTAGGGAACAACCTGGTGAAGAATACAGTGAGGAGGAAGAATCAGTCTTAAAGAACAGTGACATAGAGCAGACTGCAAATGGGACAGATCTGGTAGATGAGGATGACAATCCCAGCAGTGAAAGTGCCCTAAATGAAGAATGGCACTCAGGTACATGTTTTGTTTTGTTTTTTCAGTGTATACACATATTTCAATCAGAGTATATTTTTCTGGTACCTGATAGGAAGTTTTCTAATTTAAATAAAACTGAAGTATCCTTCTGTGTCTCTTTTATTCATTCTTTTTATTTTCACACAAATGCCCATACACATTTGTTCCATTTCTTTCCCATTAAATTTTGGGAATGCTTTTGAAATATTTTTATTGTTTTCTTATCTTTCTTGCCTTATTTTTCTAGTACTAAAGATAACATAAAGTGCTTGGACATGTACATGACATAAAACATATATAGCATTTATAATACTTTCTGAATGCTTTACTGAAGTTTTATAATATGTAGCATAAGTCATCTGCCTCCTGCATGCTTTTTCATGTTTTAGCTCATGTTTAATGTCAAATTTTTAAACACAGTTATGGTTGGTTTGCTGCAGCACAGAACATATGGGTATGCTTTTTTCATTTTTTACTCCGTTAGAATGTTTTTAATCTGGTTTACTGTTTATGTCTATAAAAGAAAAGATTCCCAAAGTAACAGTCTTGTTAAGACATTTGTATATACATTGATTTCCTCCATAAAAGACAATAATTGTAATAACAAAACCTTATATTGTAAGTACAAGTAGTCTTTCAGTGACGTCACTCATCAAAAAGAATTTTAGTCTGTTAGGGTAAGAATTATTTTACTCATTCTTTTTTTATTTTTTAAAGATTTTATTTATTCTTTTTAGTCATAAAATATCTTCTTTTAATTTCTGTTTTTTAGATAACAGTGATGGTGAAATTACTAGTGAATGTGAATATGATAGTGTCTTTAACCATTTAGAGGAACTGAGACTTCACCTGGAGCAGGAAATAGGCTTTGAAAAATTCTTTGAGGTTTATGAAAAAATAAAAGTAAGTAAAATGTCAATTAAAAAACATTTAAAGTTTGGGGCATCTAGTTCGTGATCTCGGGGGTCATGAGTCCAAGCCCCACCTTGGATGTGAAGTCTACTTTAAAAAAAAATTAATTTTGAGATATGCTTTTTTTGAATTATTAGTGAAATGTCAGTGATTTTTATAGGTCGTTGGATTTATAAATAATAAAGTCTCTAGAGAATGTTAATAATCATATATTTATATTTGGAAATTTGGTATAGGCTATTCATGAAGATGAAGATGAAAATATTGAGATTTGTTCAACAATAGTTCAGGATATTTTAGGAAATGAACATGAACATCTTTATGCCAAGATTCTTCATTTAGTCATGGCAGATGGAGCCTATCAAGAAGGTAAGATTTCCTGTCTTTATATCTTAAGTAAATGTGCAAAAAACAGGATGACAAATGTAAATTGCTGAGCTTTTTATCACATGCGTTTTGGTGAAATCTATATTGGAATCATATCCCGGTACTTATGAGAATTATAAAATTAACCATGTCATATACATTAACTGATTCTATCATTTTTATTGACTTAAGTCCTTTAAGTTCTTATTTTACTTAATTTATAAGTAACATTTGAATGAGTTTTTTTAACGACTCCTTATTGGACAGCTCTAGAAATTAGAATACTTTCTTATCAATGATGTAGAAGTAAATCTTTAGACATACATGCTTCAGCAATATGTACAATTTCTCCTAAGTAATACCAAATATAATATCTTCCATTCACAGTAAATGGAATTCATTTATAGTGATTTGGATGTAAACCATTTTTATATTTGGAAAATATTTACCTACAGAATCACTTAAAAAATATTAGAACTTTACTGAAAATTATTAAAGTTAAAAATGGTGTTTCCCCTTAAATTTAGTCAAGAGCACTAAACATGGTACCAGACCAGCGGTATAGTCCTGACTCTGTGACAAGCTAGTAATGTGACATTAAGTGATTTAAGTTTCAGTTTCCACTGCTGTAAAAGGATGATCACTATTTCAATATACTATGAATTGTTTTGAAAGTACTTATCAAGTGCTTTTGTAGCCTAGTACTTTATTACCATAGACATTAAAAGACGTAGTCTTTGCTTACATGTTGAATTTGGAAGATGAGACATAAGTATATGAAAGTGTAGAACTATGTATAAAATGCATATTCTAAAATACTTTTCAGTGCAGTAGGAATTAGACAAGAGAAGCTTGGATTGTAAAAAATGGAAAGAAATGTAGAGCCATAACTTGTCAGAAAACAGTGAAAATTAATGTATATTAGAGTTAATATTGGAAGCTTATTGAAAATAGTCTTCATTGTATGGAAGTGTTGAATCACTGCATTGTGCACCTGAAACTAATATTACACTGTATGTTAACTAACTGGAATTTAAATTAGAAAATTAGTCTTTGTGATTAGATACTGTGAAGTGTTTAAAATACATACATAGAGGAAATCATTGAAGATTCGTGAAGTGAAAGAACTGACAGGATGAAGGAGACATTTTATAAAGTTCAGTCTCATAGTAGTATTCTGGATAACTTGGAGGATACTAAAATTGCAAATAAGATCTGTTTTGAAGCTGTAGATGCCTTTGGGCACAAGATGGTGAATACCTGGATTTAGCATTCATACAAGTGGAGCATTAATACTCGGTTCAGGTATTTCGAGCCAGGCTTTCAATAAAAGTATTTGATATATTGACTCATGAAAAATCAGGTTTCCTAAAATCAAATTCAAGAATGTCTTTTATTTTAGGAGCATCTTTACTTAGTTAGGTTATATACTTATTTATATTGACCATAAAGCTCAGCCAAAAAAAAAAAAAAAAAGTTTTTGAGTTGGTTAAATGTAAGTAAAAATCTTCTAAAAACTTTAATAGTTATTAAGTCAAAATCGGAAAATCATCAGGTACAGTGAGTACTTTTACCCTATAGATTCAAAAACCACTGCATCTTCATTAGTATTCTTACCTTAACAAAATAACTATCAAGAAAATGTTGGGGTCATTAGCAACAAGTAATGGATCTAATATACGCCAGTAATTAGTACTGCATATGTTATTAATTATGATTTTCTTTAGCCCATTTAATAATTAAGATGATCACAAATAGGCAAAAACAGAATAATGTTTCATATGTATGGTAGTGCTATAAAACCTAGCAAAAGAAACTTAAAGGAGCTCCTTTCTTTTCTTTTTAATTTTTTTATTTGACTTAAGTTAGCACACAATTTTATATTAGTTTCAGGTGTATAGCATACTGACTTGACAAGTTTATACTTTATGGTATGCTTACCACAAATATAGCTACCATCTGTCACCATACAATACTATTACATCATTAATTATATTCCTTATACTATGCCTTTTCTTCCCATGATTTGGTAATTCCATAACTGGTAGCCTGTATCCCCAACTCCTCTTCACCCATTTTGCCTGTCCTCTCAACCTTGTCTCTGGCAACCATTAGTTTGTTTTCTGTATTTGTAAGTCTGATTCTGCTTTTTGTTTCCTTATTGTCTTTATTTATTTTTAGATTCTACACATGAGTGGAATATGATATCCCTCTTTCTCAGTCTGACTTAGTTTACTTAGCAAAATACCTCTGGTTCCATTTATGTTGTCACAAAGGACCCACTCTCATCCTTTTTTATGGCTGTGTGATATTCCACACACATACAACATCATATCCATTCATATATTGATGAATACCTAGGTTGCTTCCATATCTTGGCTATTGTTAATGCTGCAGTAAACAATAGGGATACATATATATTTTCAAATTTGTGTCTTCATTTTTTTGGGTAAATACCCAGTAGTGGAATTGTTCTATCAAATGGTATTTCTATTTGTAAATTTTTGAAGAGCTCCCATTACTGTTTTCCACAATGGCTGTGCCAGTTTACTTTCTACCAGCAGTGTGTGAGGGTTCCTTTTTCTCTATATCCTCACCAGTAGTTGTTATTTCTTGTCTTTTTGATATTAGCCATTCTCACTTATGTAAGGTAATATCTCATTATGGATTTGCATTTCTCCAATGATTAGTGATATTGAACATCTTATCATGTGCTTGTCAGCTATCTATATGTCTTCTTTGGGAAAATGTCTATTTATATTCTCTGCCAATTTTTAAATCAGATTATTTGGGTTTTTGTTTTTTTGGTGTAGGGTTGTATAAGTTGTTTGTATATTTTGGGTATTTACCCCCTACCAGATATATCATTAGCAAATATCCTCCCCCATTAAATAAGTTGCCTTTTTCTTTTGTTGATGTTGTCCTTTACCGTGCAGAAGCTTTCTATTTTGATGGAATCCCAATGGTTTGCTTTTGCTTTTGTTTCCCTTCCCTGAAGGGACATATCTAGAAAAATGTTTTTATGGCTGATGTCAGAGAAATTCCTATTTTCTTCTAGGATTTTTATGGTTTCCAATCTCGCATTAGGGTCTTTAGTTTATTTTTGTGTATGGTGTTAGGACATTGTCCAGTTTCATTCTTCTACATGTAGCTGTCTAATTTTTCCACCAGCATTTATTGAAGAGACTGTCTTTTCCCCATTGTATATTCTTGCCTCCATTGTCATAGATTAATTGACCATATAATTAAAGGTTTATTTCTGGGCTCTTTATTTTCTTCCATTGATTTATATGTCTCTTTTGATGCTAGTACCATACAGTTTTGATTACTACAGGTTTGTAGTATATCTTCAAATCTGGAATAATGATAACTTCAGCTTTGTTTTTCTTAAGATTGCTTTGGCTATTTGGGTTCTTTTGTAGTTAATACAAATATGAGTAATCTAGCTTTGTGAAAAATACTCTTGGTATAGTGTCAGGGATTGCATTGAATCTGTAGATTGCTTTGGGTAATACATTTTGGCAATATTAATTCTTCTACTTCATGAACATGGACTGTCTTTCCATTTGTTTGTGTCATCTTCAATTTCTTTCTTCAGTGTTTTATAGTTTTCAGAGAACAGGTCTCTTACCACTTTGGTTTATTCCTGGGTATTTTATTCTTTTTAGTGCAGTTGTAAATGGGATAGTTTTCTTCAATTCTCTTTCTTCTACATCATTATTAGTGTACAGAAATGCTACCGATTTCTGGATATTAATTTTATATCCTGAGACTACTGAATTATTTCTTTTGTCTAGTACTTTTTGGTGGAGCCTTCAGGATTTTCTTTGTATACTATCACGTCATCTGCAAATAGTGACAGTTTAACTTTTTTACCAATTTGGATGCCTCTTATTTCTTTTTATCATCTGATTGTTGTGGCTAGAACTTGCTGTTGTGTTGAGTAATAGTGGAAAGAGTGGGCATAACTTGTCTTGTTCCTAATGTTAAAGGAAAAGCTCTCAGTTTTTCACCATTGAGTATGATGTTAGCTATGGAGCTTTCATATATGATCTTTATTATGTTGAGGTATGTTCCTTCTAAACCTATTTTGTGGAGAGTTTTTGTCATGAAGAGATGTTGAATTCTATAAAATGGTTTTTCTGCATCTATTGATGATCATGTGATTTTTATCCTTTGTTTTGTTAATGCAGTATGTCACATGGATTGATTTGTGAATATTGAACTGTCTTTGCATCCTTGGAATATCATGATGGATGATCCTTTGAATGTATTGTTGAATGCAGTTGGCTGGGAATTTTTGCATGTTCATTAGGGATATTGGCCTGTAGTTTTTTTTTTTTTTTTCTTTTTATGGTATCTTTGTCTAGTTTTGGTGTGAGGGAAATGCTAGCCTCACAGGATGTATTTAGAACCTTTCCTTCTTCTGTTTTTGGAATAGATTGAAGAGGATAGGTATTTAATTCTTTAAATGTTTGGTAGAATTTGCCTGTGACTCTAGCTGGTTCTGGACTTTTTTTTTTTTTTTTTAAGATTTTATTTATTTATTTCACAGAGAGAGACACAGTGAGAGAGGGAACACAAGCAGGGGGAGTGGGAGAGGGTGAAGCAGGCATACCGCTGAGCAGGGAGCCAGATGTGGGGCTCGATCCCAGAACCCTGGGATCACGACCTGAGCCAAAGGCAGATGCTTAAGGACTGAGCCACCCAGGTGGCCCTGGACTTTTATTTTTTAAATATAAATTCAATTTGTTTACCAGTAATCTGTTCAGATTATCTATTTCTTCCTTACTCAGTTTTGGAAGATTGTATGTTTCTAGGAATATATCCATTTCTCCTAGTTGTCCAGTTTGTTAGCATGTGATTTTTCATAGCATTCTCTTATAATCCTTTGTATTTCTGTGTTGTCAATTGTTACTTCTCTCTCATTTGATTTTATTAATTTGGGTCCTTTCTCTTTTTTCTTGATGAGTCTGGCTAAGGATTTATCAATTTTGTTTATCTTTTGAAAGAACCAGCTCTAGGTTTCATTGATTTTTTTTTTCTATTGTTTTTTCAGTCTCTGTCTCATTTTTTCCTGCTCTAAATTTATTATATTCCTTCCTTTAACTCAGCTTGGGCTTTGTTCTTTTTCTGATTGCTTTAGGTGTAAGGTTAGATTGTTTATTTAAGCTTTTTCTTGTTTCTTGACATAGGCCTCTGTCACTTTATTTCCGTCTTAGAACTGCTTTTGCTGTGTCCCAGAGATTTTGAAGCATTGTGCTTTCATTTTCATTTGTTTCCATGTATTTTTTGGTTTCTTTTTTCTTTCGTTAACCCATTGGTTGTTTAGTATCATGGTGTTTAGTCTCCATGTGTTTGTTTTTTTTTTCCAATTTTTATCTTGTGATTTATTTCTAGTTTCACACTGTTGTGGTCAGAAGAAAATCCGTGGTATGATTTCATTTTTCTTAAATTTACTAAGGGTTGTTTTGTGGCCAAACATGATCTATTCTGGAGAATGTTCCACATGTGCACTTGAAAAGAATATGTATTCTGTTGTTTAGGTATGGGATGTTCTGTTTATCTATGATGTCCTTCTGGTTTAATGTGTTATTCAAAGATACTCTTTCCTTTTGATTTCCTGCCTGGATGATCAAGCCATTGATATAAGTGGAGTGTTAATGTCCCCTACTATTATTATATTACCATCAGTTTCTCTATGTCCGTTAATATTTGCTTTATGTATTTATGGTGCTCCAGTGATGGGTGCATAGAAGTTTACTATTGTTATATCCTCTTGTTGGATTGACCCCTTTATCATTATGTAATGCTCTTTTTGTCTCTTGTTGCAGTCTTTGTTTTATTTTATTTTTTATTTTTTTAAAGATTTTTTTTATTTATTAGAGAGAGAGAGATAACAAGAGAGAGCATGAGTGGGGAGGAGAAGTAGAAGCAGGCTCCCTGATAAGCAGAGAGCCTGATAAAGGGCTCAATCCCAGGACCCTGAGATCATGACCTGACCCAAAGGCAGACACTTAACTGACTGAGCGACCCAGGAGCCCTTGCAGTCTTTGTTTTAAAGTCTATTTTGTCTAATATAAAACATTGCTGCCATGGCTTTTTTTTTTTTTTTCTTGCTTCCCTTTGCTCAGTAAATATTTTTCCATCCCTTCACTTTTAGTTTATATGTGTCTTTAGATCTGAGGTGACTCTTTTGTAGGCAGCATATAGATGGATTGTGTGTGTGTGTGTGTGTGTGTGTGTTTCTTTTTTTTAATCCATCCCACCACCCTATATCTTCTGATTGGACCATTTAAGGCATTTACATTTAAAGTAATTGATATGTATGTACTCATTGCCATTCTTTTGTTTTCTGGTAATTATTGTAGTTGTCTGTTCCCTTCTTCTCTTGCTATCTTTCTTTGTGATTGATGAATTTCTATAGTATTATGTTTGACTTTTTATTTTATTTATTTGTGTATCTATTACAGGTTTTGAGTTTGTGGTTACCATGAGGATCAAATATAACATCCTAAGTATACAGCAGTCTATATTAATTTGATGGTAGTTTAAGTTCAAACACATTCTTAAAAAACTTTTTTTCTCTCTCCTCCACATTTAATGTATGTGTTATCACATTGTACATCCTTTTCATCATTTTCTTATGTCTAATTTTAGCTATTTCTTTTCAACTTAAAGAATTCCCTTTAACATTTCTTATAAGGCTGATTTAGTAGTAATAAATTCCTTTATCTTTTTTTGTCTAGGAAACTCTATCTTTCCATCAAATGTGAAGGATAATTTGCCAGGTAGAGTGTTCTTTGTTTTAGGTTTTTTTCCTTTCAGCATCTTGAATATATTCTACTTTCTTCTGGCTTGCAAAATTTCTACTGATAAATTAGCTGAGAGTTTTATTGGTTTTCCTCATAGGTTTTTTTGTTTCTCTCTTGCTGCCATTAAAAGTCTTTCTTCATCCTTAACCTCTGACATTTTAATTATTATGTGTCCTGGTATGGACCTCCTTGGAACTCCCTGTGCTTGGACTTGAATGTCTATTTCCTTTCCCACGTTAGGGAACTTTTTAGCTATTATTTCCTCAAGTAAGTTTTCTATCCCCTTTCTCTTCTGCTTCTACTGGGACCCCTATAATGTAAATGTTTGTTTGTTTGGTGTTGTCTAAGATATGCCTAAACGTATCCTCATTTTAAAAAAATTTTTTCTCTTTTTGACATTCAGCTTGGATGCTTTTCATTTCCCTGTCTTCTAGATTACTGATATGTTCTTCCATATCCACTAATCTGTTGATCCTTAAGGGAGCTGTTTTCCTTTAAAGAAGTGTTGAAGAACTATAACATCACTTTGGGGGGAAAATGTCAGAACTTAATATCCAAATAAATAATAGTTTCTTTAAAGTAGACATATAAATTTAATTAAGATTCTCCATTACACAAAATATCTTAGAACTTTTGGAATTTCACTGACAGCTTATATACCAGGTTCTTTTGATAGTCTTTCTTTGTATGAGTCTTTATTCTGGGCACATTTAGGATTTTTTTTGGACAAAGTTTTAAAGTTTCTTGAAGTCAAGCTTAGTGAATGAAGTGGGAATCAAGATATATTTGGGGTCTTATAGTTTTTAGGTATCTCACCGTGAAGTAATGATCTTAATTTTTTAACGTGATTTGTAAACTGATTGAATATTTTGAACAAGAATTCTGTTCTAGAATATCTGTCAAAATTACTTTAAAGATACAATTAGTATGCTAAAGTGATTTGAGGATTTGAGATTTTTTAAATGTTGCTTAATTTTAGCAATATAAATTTTTATAAAGTTTATTTATATTCTATCTTGTCAAAAAATTTAATGTTGCACTTAAAAATATATAGAGTACAAGGGCTTGGGAAAGTCAGCATATCAGGCAGATGAGCATAAGCAATGATTATTAAGCCAAAAATGAGGTGAGAATACAAAGTTAATGTTCAAAGGGTCTCTACATTTTGTGAGAATAGGTCATAAATTTGGTGCTTATCTTTCTAGCAAAGCAGGAAACCTAATTAATTACATAAGTCACTGTTCTTGAGACAAAACATATCACTCAGAAGTTAGCTATTTTTAGTATTGAAACAGAATAATTTCCCCATGATTCTTAAAAAGAGGGTACAATCATATAGTATTCCTCAAATTTTAATAACTTGTAGATTCCTTTAAAGAGGATATTTTTTAGACTTCAAGAATCTAAGTCCATAGATCTTAGTGAAAAACTCAAGTCTTAGTCTTTCAAAATATCTGTCAGTTAAGAACTACTACTGTAAAACAGATGGTTTTCCCTTAAATATTGAAATACTATTTTTGTTTTCAAAATTAATACATAAAATGTAAACATTATCTGGAACTTGAATATTTCTGATTTTATTGAGGTCTTGGATCCTGTTTTATAAATCAACGCTATATAGTGAACTAAAAATTATCTTCAGTAATTTTTACAGTATTTGGATTTCATGGGCCTCTTTCTCATAATATGACATAGTGTAATTTAATGGCATGAAGTCAGAGAATGACCCAGTTAAATTAATCTGAGAAGAATACCAGTCTAGTTATATTCATATTCAGACTGTTTATCCTTCGGGCAGTTCTCCATAAGTATTGCTTCAATAGTGCTTTCTGTGAGTAATCAGCAATGTGCTTGGGGTTCAACTTTGCTTGACAAATATTTGGAAAACCTTTATTTGGTATTCCTCCTTAAGCTAAGAATAGTTGGTTGAGGCACAGGGTAGAATTGACATGTTTTTTGGATAGTTGAGTGGCTTCGAAAGGATACATGCCTATGTAGGAGGCTGTCTCTCTTACATAGAAACCTCACACATAGAAACAGATACAAGAGTTAGGCAAAATAGGAGATGGAGGAATGTGTCCCAATTAAAGAGTAAGACAAAAATCTTAGAAAAAAAGAACTGAAGAAAATGAAGATAAGCAGTCTATCTGATAAAGAGTACAGCATGGTAGTCATAAAAATGCTGACTGAACTCAGGGAAGAATGGTTAAACACAATAAGAATTTCAAAAAAGAGAAAATAAAAGAAAGCAATCAGAGAGGAAGAACACATTCACAGAAATGAAAAACACACTTGAGAGAATAAATAGATGATACTCAGAACACATCAGTGAACTGTAAGACAGGATATTAGAAATCATCCAAACTGAATAGCAGAAAGAAAAGAAAATTAGGATAGTTTTAGAGACCTGTGCAACAACATCAAGCATACTAACATTTGCATTACAGGAACTTAGAAGGAGAATAGAGAAAGGGTCGGAAAATTTATTTGAAGAAATAATAGCTGGGATGCCTGGGTGTCTCAGTCGGTTAACATCTGCCTTTGGCTCAGGTCATGATCTCGGGGTCCTGGATTCAAGTTCCGTATCAGGCTCTTTGCTCAGCAGGGAGTTTGCTTCTCCCTCTCTCTGCCACTCCCCCTGCTTGTGCACTCACACTCTCTCTCTGACAAATGAAAAAATAAAATCTTTTTAAAAAAGAAAGAAAGGAAGACTAGCTGAAAACATCCCTAGCCTGGGGAAAGGAAACACATCTAGATCCAGGAAGCACAGAGAGTCCCAAACAAGATGATCCCAAAGAGAGCCACACTAAGACACATAACAAAAAAGTAAAAAATGAAAGATAAAGAGAAAATCTTTAAAGTAGCAAGAGAAAAAGTTACATGTAAGGGAATCCCCATAGACTATCAGCTGATTTTTCATCAGAAATTCTGCAGGCCAGAAGAGAGTTGCATGACATATTCAAAGTGCTAAAAGGAAAAAAACTAACAACCAAGAATATTCTTCCAGACAAGGTTAATATTCAGAATTGAAGGGAAGATACATGGTTTCCCAGACAAACAAAAGTTATAAGAATTCATCACTACTAAATCAGCTTTACAAGGAAATATCAAAGGGTCTTTTTTAAGCAGAAAAGAAAAGGTAGGCCTTAACTGGGAATAGGAAATTATATAAAAGAAAAAAATCACACCAGTAGAGGCAAACATATAGGACAGGTAGTGAATCAATGATTTATAGAGCTAGCATGAGGTTTAAAGACAAAAGTAATAAAATCAATTAAATTTACAATAATTACTTATGGGATACACTAAATAAAAAGATATAAAATAAAGTATGACATCAAAAACTTAAAACATAACGTGGGAGGGAGTAAAAATGTAGTACTTTTATAATGCATTCAAAATTAAATACCCACCAGTTTGGGGGCACCTGGGTGGCTCAGTGGGTTAAAGCCTCTGCCTTTGGCTCAGGTCACGATCCCAGGGTCCTGGGATCAAGCCCCACATTGGGCTCTCTGCTCAGCAGGGAGCCTGCTTCCCTGCTTTGTGTCTGCCTGCCTGCCTCTCTGCCTACTTGTGATCTCTCTGTCAAATAAATAAATCAAAATCTAAATAAATAAATAAATAAATACCCACCAGTTTAAAAATAAAGTGGCATATATGTAAGTTGTTATATATGAACTTCACAGTAAACACAAACCAAAAATCTGTAATACATACACAAAAAAAAAAATAAGGGAAAGGAGATGAAATTTAACTCTAGGGAAAATTATTAAATCATAAGAAAGCAAGAGGAGAAAGGAACAGAGAAGAACTACAGAAACAACAAGAAAACAAAATGACAGATACATACCTGTATATGATTGCTTTAAATGTAAGTAGACTAAATGCTTCACTCAAAAGATAGAGGGTGACTAAGTGTATATTAAAAAAAAAAAAAAGTCCCATCTGTATGCTGTCTACCAGAGACTGACGTCAGATCTTAAGATGCACACAGACTGAAAATGAAGGGATAGAAAAAATTACATGCAAATAGAAATGACGAGAAATTTGGGGTAGCAGAACTTAAGAAATTAAATAGACTTTGAAACAAAGACTATAAGAAGTGACAAAGAAGGGCCCTACATAATGTTAAAGGTGTCCAACAAGAAGATATAACACTTGTAAATATTTATGCACCTAGCATAGTAGCACATAAATACAGGAAGCAAATATTAACATGCAAAAGAAGAAATTGGCAGTAATACAATAATATAGGGACTTTAACACCCCTCTTAAATCAATGGGTAGATCATCCAGACAAGAAATTAATAAGGAAATATTGGCGGTTGAACAACATACTAGACCAGATGTACTTGATAGATATGTACAGAACATTCCATCCAAAAACAGAACATTCTTCTCAAATGCACAGGAATCATTCTCCAGAATAGATCCTATGTTAAACCACAAAAAAAGTCTCAATACATTTAAGATTGAATTCATATCAAACATCTTTTCTGACCACAATGGTATGAAACTAGAAATCAACTACAGGAAGGAAACTGGAAAAAAACGCAAACATGTGGAGACTCCAGCATGCTACTAAACAACCAATGGATCAAATAATAGAGGAAATCAGAAAATACCTTGAGACAAATGAAAATGAAAACACAATGCTCCAAAATCTATGGGATGCAGCAAAAGCAATTATAAGAAGGAAGGTTATAGCAATACATGCCCATTTTAAGAAACAATAAAAAGCTTAAACAAACAGTCTAAACTTACACTTCAAGGAATTAGAAAAAGAACCAAAGCCCAAAGTTAGTAGAGGAAAGAAATAATAAAGATCACAGAGGAAATAAAATGGAGACTAAACAAACAGTGGAAAAGATTAATGAAACTCAAAGTTGGCTATTTGAAAAGATAAAATTGGTAAATCTTTAGCAAAATTCATCAAGAAAAAAAGAGAAAGGGCCCAAATAAAATCAGAAATGAAA